GCAAGGAGATCCAACCAGTCCATCCTAAAGGAAATCAGTCCTGAATGTTCATTGGAAGGACTGATGCTGAAGCTGAAACTCCCAATACTTTGGCTACTTGATGCAAAGAACTGACTCATTGGAAAAGACCCTGATCCTGGGAAAGATTGAAGGCAGGAAGAGAAGGGAATGACGGAGGATGAGATGGTTGGATGGCATCACCGATTCGATGGACAAGAGTTTGAGTAAGCTCCAGGAGTTGGTGATGGACAGGGAAGTCTGGAGTGCTGCAGTCCATGGGGTTGCAGAGTCAGACACGACTGAGCGACTGAACTGACTGACTGACAGTTCTTTATATATTACACACACACACACACACACACACACACACACACATATTTGTGGGTATGTATTTATATATTGCTAAATTAATTTTTTTTTAAATTTTTTAAAATTGGAGGATAATTTCTTTACAATATTGTCTTGGTACTTGCTGTATATCTGAATCATTTTTTTTAAAGGACTGAATGTGAAAAAGCAAGATGGATAGAACAGTGTGAATAGTATGTTATCATTTGTGTTAAAAAGACATGAATAAGAATAATCATACATATTTGTATGTATATATTGGCATATATGGGGCATCTCAGGTGGTGCTGATGGAGATATAAGAGACATAAAAAATGTGGGTTCATTCCATGGGTTGGGAAGATCTTCTGGATAAGGGCATGACAACCCACTCCAGTATTCTTGCCTGGAGAATCCCCATGGGCAGAGAAGCCTGACGGACTACAGTCCATAGAATTGCGAAGAGTCAGACCAACTGAAGCAACTTAGTGTGCTTGAATGCATATTGGTGTCTATATATATATATCTTATATATAAAATTTACTTGTTTATGCACAAAAAATATCTGAAAGCGTGTGTGAGAAATTGATTGCCTCTGGAGTGAGGAATTGAGTGACTGGGAAGAGGCGGGAGGAAGACTTTTTTCATTGTATATTCTTATTTTGAATGGTGTGAATCGACAGTATTAAAATCATAAATAAAATGAAAAGCCTCTAGCAGTGGGTGAAAATCCCCATTGTTTTCCATTTTCACTCCTACTGCTTTGGTGCAGGCCTCAATCTCTTTCCCCTGGATCTTTGCAGTAGCCACTACTTGGTCTCCCTGCCCCCAGGCAGCTTATCTTTTCTCTAGTCCATCTTTCACATTGCTGCCGGGGAAAGCACATGTCAGATCATGTCTCTCACTTCCTAAAATTATAAGTGGTATCCCATGGCCCATAGGATAAAGTTCCAACTCTTTGTTTTAGCATTCCAAGTCTTCCACTATCTGGTCTCAAATTGTCTTTTCAGTGTCACTTCCACACATCTTTGTATACCCTCTCTTTGTAATCTTTCTCCAGACAGCAACCCCCTCCCCCCAAAAAGAAAGAAATTCATTTAAAAATTTTCTGTTTTTTTTTTTTTAAAGCCTGAAATACCCTTTCTTTCAATTTGCAGTTAAAACTGAATTTTGCTTTCAAGGCCTGTTCCGAACATTATTTTCTTTTTCCTCTCACCAACTCCCTGCCATCTATCTTCAAAATGAATCATTTATTTTTGGTTCCCATTGTATGTGTCTCATACCTTTGGCACTCATTCTAGTTAATTGCTCGCTTATCAGTTGCTTAAGTTCTATTTTTAGACTTGCTTGTATTGATCCCTCTTTCCAGTTCCAGTAGCCTTGCCAACATTGTGCCTTTCTCCACTCCTGCCTGTCTTTAACCCTGGTGGTTTTCATATCTTGGTAAATGTGTCAGATTAGGTTATACATTGAAGAATTTTGAGGAGAAGCAGCAATTGATTAGAATTAGTAGAATCCACTGAATATCATACAGTTTATTTTTTCTTTATCCTGTTTGCATGCCTGTTTTGAAATGTCAAAGATTATTTCGTTTTCATTTTATAGATATGTGATATATATCTAGGGGCCTGGGAGGAGAATGTCCTTGTTGAAGGACTCACAGTGAATAAGTTTAGAGCCAGGGTGTAAACACAGGAACCTTTCAGGTAGGACTTTTATAGCATGTAGAGAGACCATGACTTTATTTTGGGGTTATACCAGTTAGGTGCTTTTGGTAGTACCAGCTAGTAAGAATGTGTCCACCTTTGGTCTGCTTCCTATGTTGGCTGATAGAGCATTTGCTGTGATAATCTCAATGATATTTTTCAGAATACAACAAAGGAAACAATTTAAAATTTAATTCTGTCCTTACTGAAAGAGCTAATGGCTTGGTTTAGTCAGGTTCCCAAATGAAGACATTTGAAATGCTTAACCAAAAGCAAACCAGCAGTCCTTTGATCTTTTGATCCTTGTCTTTCCTAGAAGCAACCTCTTGTAATTTTTCTAGCTATTCATTTTTCATGAATAGAAGTATTTCTATACTTTGCTTTTCATAAAGTGTAGAAATACTTCATATCTTTGTACTGTTGCTTCAGACACTATTGACTTTCTCTTATAGCAGCTGAGGTATTTGACTTCCTCTCCCATTCTTCTCCCTCCATGCTCATCAGTGTATTTATAATTTTTATTAAATTAACATTTGGCATCTACATTATTATAACTCTAAATTGTTTATTTTCTGCCAAATCATGTAATGTTTTCTGTTTTTATATGACAAAAATACTTGTTCATAATTTACTTTTTTATAGAGTTAAAAATTGCTTAATTTTTCATTTACTTAGTGATTCGTGTACCTGTTACTGATCCCTTAACAAATATTTACGGAGTGCCTACCATGTGTCAGCTATTATTCTTGGTGCTTGGGATACATCAGTGAACATGCTAGGCAAAAATTCCTTCTTTTGTGATATTTACATGCCACTTGTGAGATAGACAACAAACATAATAAGTAAAATACATAGTATGGTAGTTGATAGGTGCCAAGGAGGAAAGCAGAACACCATAGGGGATTTGGGAGTATAAATACCAGTCTGGGTGGGTAAGTCTCATTGAGAAGCTGACATTTGTGTAAAGATTTAGGCTCCTCCCAGAGTTATTTTCCACAAAGCCAAATGCCTCGAATAATCTGACATTGCAGTTTCCCTAGCAGCTTGCTCTCTTGGAGCCCTCCCTCTGCCAGCCAGGACTGGCACTCCAGAACCCTGCAGCACAAATGTTGTCCCGGGATTTCCCTTGGCCACTTCACTGGGCTGGATCATCCGGTTTCCTGGATCCTCCATCTTTCTATTACTTGGTTCATGCTGTCTTTTTGATGGGGCAAATTATCACATAGCTTCCTGAGAAAGGGTACATAAAAGGGAGGGAAAGCATATTGAGAATACGGATATTCCAGAGTACTTTTAACCTACCCTTACAGTTGACTGAAAGTTTGGCTCAGTTTAGAATTCTTGGTCAGAAATCATTTCTCATAGAATTTTCAGTGCCTTACTGCATTGTCTTCAAGCTTTCAAAGTTTCTGCTGGGAAACATTGAGGCCCATGATTCATAATTGTTTATACGTGAGCTATTTTTTTCTCTCTAAAAACATTTAAAGTTTTCTCTTTATTCTGATGTTCTCTGATTTTATGATGATGAATCAAGCCCTGGTGTGGGTCTTTGCTGTGTCTTGGTTGACTGTGCTTGGCACTTAGTGGCCCCTTGTATCCTTCAATTCCGGGAAGTGTTCTGATGTTGCTACCTTGAGAGCTGACTGAAGTAGCAAGTTAATCAGCTGCGGCCCATAGAGGAGGGCTTTGGCTGCTCCTGGTTGGTCACCAGTTTAGTCAGTTTAGCTCAGTCGTGTCTGACTCTGGGCAGTCCCATGAACTGCGGCACACCAGACTTCCCTGTCCATCTCCAACTCCTGGAGCTTGCTCGAACTCATGTCCATTGAGTCGGTGATGCCATCCAACCATCTCATCCTCTGTCGTCCCCTTCTCCTCCTGCCTTCAGTCTTTCCCAGCATCAGAGTCTTTTCCAGTGAGTCAGTACTTCACATCAAGTGGCCAAAGTATTGGGAGTTTCAGCTTCAGCGTCAGTCCTTCCAGTGAGTATTCAGGACTGATTGCCTTTAGGATGGGCTGGTTTGATCTCCTTGCAGCCCAAGGGATTCTCAAGAGTCTTCTCCAACACCACAGTTCAAAAGCGTCAGTTCTTTGGTGCTGAGCTTTCTTTACCATAGTACATACGACCCTTACTATATATTGAGTTGTTTATTTAATAAGCAGCTATTATTATTATTTTATTCTCTAGAATTATTGACATAAAAGGCAGAATTTTTTTCTTTCTTTTTTCCAGCTTCTGGTACTTAGAAGGAATACCCGTGTTGGAGGTCTTGTTTGTTATGCTGTTGTTGGTCATTGCCCTTTTAAGGTTTGGCAGGTGTGTCCCCACCCCTACTCTTGCTGTCAGGAAGCCTCCAGAGGCTTTGAGGCTTTCTTACCTTGGTTGCCCTTTCACCTTTCTTTATCTTTCTCATATTTCTTCATGTCTATACACACACACACACACGCACACACACACACACACCATAAAATTCACCATTTTAAAGTGTCCAACTCAGTGGTTTTTTTTTTTTTTCCAGTTTATTTACAATGTTGTGTGACTTCACCACTGTCTAATTCCAGAGCATTTTTATCACCCCCAAGGAAACTCCCCCTATGTAAAGTGGTTAGCTGCATTCCCCGCTCCTTCCAGTTCCTGGCAACTACTCCTGTACTTTTCTGATGCTGCGAATTTGCCTATTATGGACAGTTCATGTAAATGAGGTCATGAGTTATGTGGTCTTTTGTGTGGTTTCTTTAAGTTAAAGTGTTTTCAACGTTCATCCATGTTGTAGTATGTATCAGTACTTTGTTAATGTTCTGAACCCAGGCTCTGGGTGTCTGTTTTTGGACTACCCAGAAAAAACTTCTGCATTTATTGTTACCTTGATTATGATACTGGCATTTAATTTGCTTTTTCAGAAAACTTTTGTTGGGTACAAAAAGATACTGAACAATTTTAATTTTAAATATACATTATTTACTTTTTAGTATGCCAGTACTGAGGTTGATGGAGAACATTACATGACCCCGGAAGACTTTGTCCAGCGCTATCTTGGACTGTATAATGATCCAAATAGCAATCCGAAGATTGTGCAGCTCTTGGCAGGAGTAGCTGATCAAACCAAGGATGGGTAAGAACTTGTATGCTCTTCTTGAAAGCTAGTGTTATTCAATATTGTACTAAAAAAATGGGAAAACCATAAACTTACCCATGACCATTTAGAATTTTAATGTTAATAAACCATATATTTTCTTAGAAGTTTAAAAAAATTGTTATTTACTGCCATTATCAAGTATACTTTCACTTCTTATTTTGAAAAAAAAATACATGCAAAGCCATATTTTATGTTGAATAATCTGAGCAGAATGGTTTTCAGATAGCTAAGTTATCTTTTATTCATTCATTCAGTAAATATTGAGTATTTACTGTGTTTTAGGCACGTTCTATGTACTAGAATTCCATCAGTGAATAAACCACAGAAAAACAATAAACAAAATTTAAAAGTAAACTATAATGTTAGGTGGTTATAACTGCTATAAGGAATAATAAGGAAGCATTTATTTCATCTATCTGTCCATTTATCTGTCAGGTATTTATGAGATAGCCATCATTCACCAGGCACTGTTGAACATTAGAAATATAAATAAAATGAGGTTCATGACCTTGAGAAGAAACTCATGGCTTAGTGAGAAAGAATGAGTAAACAAAGGGAAAAAGTAATACTTTGGGAATAAGGTGCTATGATAGAACCATATGAAATATACAAAGGACACCTAAGACAGTATAGTTAACTGTTTTGGGTGTTCAGGAGAGCATCTTAGAAGAAGCAATGCTTGAGTGAATCTGGCAAGACAAAAAGAGTTTGCTGGTTGCTGGACAAAGAAGGAGAATTCCTGGAATGGGAACAATTGGCATGAAACATCAAGGGGCAGGGACACGCAGTTTTGAGGGCACCTCACTGTGTCCCCTCTGCCTAGCAAAGCAATAAAGCTATTCTCTTCTACTTCACCTCTGCCCACAAAACCCATCAAGGGGCACCTGCATGTCCGTGTTGCCTCCACAGTGGGCAGGTTGTCAGAGTAATGGTCGGGGCACAGCTGGGGACCTTGTGTGCTAAGCTTTGACTGTATCCTATAGGCTTGTGACTCTCAGACTTGCAGGTATTTTTAGCCTGGCATTGTAGGCATGTGTGCAGTCGCAGTAATTACAAAGTGCATCTTACTTAAGTGTCAATTTACTCAAATCAAGGGGAAAAGGCATTTTTATATTAAAATCTAGTAGTACTGTATTAATGGAGGGAATGGAATATTTGTATTCTTTGCTTTGTGAGTCCAAGCTAGAGCCCCAGGACTCCAAGGGCCCAGTTTCTTTTTCTTGTCTGTAGAGGGGCTTATGTGAAAAACTAGGCAATTAAGTTTTAACTCTTTAAAATGTTTAGAAGGCTGTCGTAATACAGTGGAAGTGTTGGTTTCTAACTTCTTTGAATCCAGGGTTATTGTATTCATTTGTATTTTCTCACAGAATTTAGCACAGTGCATGAAATTTACTATGAGTATTTTATTTCTTGGAAAGATTTTATATAATTCATCACTGACAGATATTGAGGAACTTGTATACATTTTGTGCCCAGTCTCTAGAAAAAGTCAAATTGGTTGCTAGGTTACTGTGGACCATTCAGTCATTGAGTATCTCAATAGTGATTAGACAGTGAGGCATATAAAAATTAATCATATTTAATCAGAATTTCTTCTTCAGATTTAGAAATTTTAATTATTGTCATTAACTTGGTCTGAGACTTGCCAGACATATCTTTTCAGATGTTTCCTTTTGTGACCATATGTTCTGATCCATTCCACTGGTGTATCTTATTTGAAGCTTCATGTGGTTCTGTCAGAAGCAGTTGTGTTGTTAAAGTGTGGTCAAGTGGAATTGAGTGTTTAAGTTGCCAGAGTAGAATCAATCAAAAATGGGTTTTGGCTAGTAAAGAATCTAATAATGTTGAATACTGTTTACTTAAAGAAAGCAAGCTCTCTTTTGAAAAGGTATATCTGTTCTATTTAAAATTTTAAAAACTGCTTAAACTTCCATTTTTTCCCTCCCTGCTTAGAATAAGTCAGATTGAGATTGGGTAGGAAATTTGATTCATAGAGTTAGGTCGTAAAAATTATAAACATATACATTATTTCTAAAAGAGAAAGGTGGAATTTTCTAGAAACCTCCCATTCATGGTCGATCTTCATAGTTTCCTGAACTTACTGAAATATAATGCAAAAATGAATGATTTTGTATTTTCATTTTTCTGGGGAGAAATCACAGGTTTTTCAAAGGGTCTATGACTTCAGAAGGGTTTAAATATCATTGTTAAAGTTGTTTTTTTTTTTAATATTTTAATTTAAGAAAGTCAAAGGTGTTGATGATGTTTAAACTTATTCCAAGTAGCCAGCCCTTCCTCATTTCACATTTAAGGAAAATGAACTCCAGAGAGATTGATTGACTTGTCCAATAACACAAGATTAATTCTCTTGCTTAATTTTTAGCTCATCTTCTTGTAATCATTTAAAAAAGCTATCTTTTCTCTATTGTTCTGTTTCCTGCTCCTTTAAGCAGGGCAGTGATGAAAGTTAGGATAGTTTAGTTGGTTTATCTTTTTTCCAACTCCAAGAAGTATTCCTTGATTCTGTTATAGTCTTTTTAGGACAAGTCCTGTAGGTATATGGGCTTCCTAGGTGGCGCAGTAATAAAGAATCTGCCTGGCAATGCAGGAGATGCAAGAGACACAGATTAGATCCCTGGGTTAGAAAGACCCACTGGAGTAGGAAATGGCAGCCCACTCCAGAATTCCTGCCTGGAAAATTCTGTGGACAGTGGACTACAATCCATGGCGTTGCAAAGAGTCGGACATGAACGAGCACAGCATGGCCTATAGGTCTGTAACTTGACAAGAATCATGTAATACTGTTTATAGTTACTTCAGACCAAATCTGAATTAATAAAACTAGCATAAACAAGTTTGAGTGATTTAGTTAAGTGTATGAGAAAAGCAGGTTTAGGGGTGGTCAGTACTATGTCCCTTTTGTGTTCCATCCTTGCCTGCCCTCCCTTGTTTTCTTAGCATGTTAACTGCTCCCTTTCTCTTCTCCTGGCTCCCTTTCTTCTAATAAATAGTAAAGTAAGCAAGAGTGTTTTGATACAGGTGCTTGCTATGGACAGCTGTGTATTTCTTTTTTGGTTTGTTTTTTGTTTTCTATTTTGTTTGGCTGTGCCACATGGCATATGAGATCTTAGTTCTCTGAACAGGGATCAAACCCGGGCCCCTCGCATTGGAAGCTTGGAGTCTTAACCACTGGACTGCCAGGGAAGTCCCTGGAGAGCCACGGAGAAACAACATTGTGTAAATAGCATGATTGGTTGTCTAAAAGTAAAAGCCATTCAGTTCACTTCAGTCACTCAGTCGTGTCCAACTCTTCCCGACCCCGTGGACCACAGCACACCAGGTCTCCCTGTCCATCACCAACTCCCGGAGTTTACTCAAACTCATCTCCACTGAGTCGGTGATGCCATCCATCCATCTCATCCCCTGTCGTCCCCTTCTCCTCCTGCTCTCAATCTTTCCCAGCATCAGGGTCTTTTAAAATGAATCAGCTCTTCACAACAGGTGGCCAGAGTATTGGAGTTTCAGCTTCAGTGTCAGTCCTTCCAGTGACCACTCAGGACAGTTCTCCTTTAGGATGGACTGGTTGGATCTCCTTGCAGTCCAAGGGACTCTCAAGAGTCTTCTCCAACACCACGGTTCAAAAGGATCAATTCTTTGGCATTCAGCTTTCTTTGTAGTCCAACTCTAACATCCATACATGACTACTGGAAAAACCATAGCCTTGACTAGATGGACCTTTGTTGACAAAGCGATGTCTCTGCTTTTTAATATGCTATCTAGGTTGGTCATAACTTTCCTTACCAGGAGTAAGCATCTTTTAATTTCATGGCTGCAATCACCATCTGCAGTGATTTTGGAACCCCCAGAAATGAAGTCTGTCACTATTTCCACTGTTTCCCCATCTATTTGCCATGAAGTGATGGGATCGGATGCCATGATCTTAGTTTTCTGAATGTTGAGCTTTAAGCCAACTTTTTCACTTTACTCTTTCACTTTTATCAAGAGGCTCTTTACTTCTTCACTTTCTGCCATATGGGTGGTGTCATCTGCATATCTGAGGTTATTGATATTTCTCCCGGCAATCTTGATTCCAGCTTGTGCATCATCCAGCCCCGCGTTTCTCATGATGTACTCTGCATATAAGTTAAATAGCAGGGTGACAATATACAGCCTTGACGTACTTCTTTTCCTATTTGGAACCAGTCTGTTGTTCCATGTCCAGTTCTAACTGTTGCTTCCTGACCTGCATACAGATTTCTGAAGAGGCAGGTCCGGTGGTCTGGTATTCCCATCCCATGAAGAATTTTCCACAGTTTATTGTGATCCACACAGTCCAAGGCTTTGTCATAGTCAGTAAAGCAGAAATAGATGTTTTTCTGCAACTCTCTTGCTTTTTGATGATCCATCAGATGTTGGCAATTTGATCTCTGGTTCTTCTTCCTTTTCTAAATCCAGCTTGAACATCTGGAAGTTCATGGTTCATGTACTGTTGAAGCCTGGCTTGGAGAATTTTGAGCATTACTTTACTAGCCTGTGAGATGAGTGCAATTGTGTGGTAGTTTGAGCATTCTTTGGCATTGCCTTTCTTTGGAATTGGAATGAAAACTGACCTTTTCCAGTCCTGTAGCCACTGCTGAGTTTTCCAAAATGTCCATCAACAGAGGAATGGATAAAGAAAATGTGGTACATTAATGCAGTAGAATATTACTCAGCTGTTAAAGAGAATGAATGCTATTGCATCACCATGGCTGAACCTAGAGATTGTCATGCTGAGTCAACTAAGTCAGACAGAGGAGGAGAAATATTGTATGACATTTCTTTTTTTTTTTTTTTAATGACATTTCTTATATGTGGAATCTAAAAAGAAATGATACTAACAAACTTACAAAACAGAAAGAATGGATAAATGTATATGCATTTGAAGTGTGCAACCTGTGAGAACTCTAAAATTAAAACTTGTTGCTGAACAACTGTCG